TAATTTATATTAGCAAATACTAAACATGGCACACACCTATTTATTGAAACATTTCTTCATGCCCTGATGAACAGCAATGAAGGTTGTTGTTTGCAGTCCTTCTCCTTCAAGCCTAATGTTAAAAGAAAAGTAATCCTTCTCAGCCCAGGCTCCAATTGCAATAGAATAAGCTTTCAGATTTTCCAGAGTCTTTGCTGGCTGAAGCTGAATGAACTATCTTAGTCAAATGGCATTTAATTTTATATTCATTGCTCTAGGTGGCTCTTTTGAAGGGCACTTCAGTAATATTTTCAAAAATTACACTATTTATTAATAATGCTGGGTAACAGTGAACAGGTCAGTTAAGATCACACTTAGATCTAAAGCCATTTTGCCTTGTGCATGCCCATCCCAAGGGACCACTAGGTGAACTTCACCATCCGGATCAAAAGAACTGCTGCCCAGTGGCCCAGCGCAGCTGACAGACAAAGCACACAGCCACCATCTCCACTGAGCCAAGCTCCAGCATCACTAAATACAGATTCTTTCCTTTTCTAACTGCTCCATTACCTCACTCTTGGCAAACCAGCACGGGTCATAGAATGGATCAGAAAATCCTTGCTAACCAGTGCCCAGCCCACCTCCACTAAGCTGCCATAGCAGCAATATTCACTGAGTAACTCAAGTCTCCATAAAGAAATAAAAAAAATAAACCAGAGCAATTGGGGTGTTCCAGGTTAAAGCATATTTATACAACTGCAACAGTACATCAGACTACTGGGAAGTGAGTGGGAGGAGACAGATAAGCCACAGGCAAAATTTTATATGCATGAATTATTACATATATACATAAGTACTTGCCTCATGTTGCAAGACATCTAATCCAGAGTGAAATCAATCACCAAATCACAGAATACTAGGTTGGAAGGGACCTCAAGGATCATCAACTTTTCTCAGCAAAAGCGTGGTCTAGACAAGATGGCCCAGCATCCTGTCCAGCCAAATCTTAAAAGCATCCAACATTGAGGAATCTACCATTTTCCTGGTGAGATTATTTCAATGGCTGACTGTGCGAAAAATTTTCCTCTCCTCCAAGAACCTTGTCAAGTTCAATCAAATCAGTATTACCTGTGTCCACACTATATTGTGTTAAAGTTGCTCTTACACTTTTAACCAAACTTTTACCTTATGAACTAAAAATTGTGAATTTCTGGCTTGGTTTTGTAACCATGTTGAGGGAAGAGGGGGGATGGAGGAAATGGGCAAGCAGACAATTAGTTAATGCAGGAAAAAGACAAGGAAGAATATCAAATGGGGACCAAGGAAAAATGTGAAGAAAGCTCAAGGACAGGGAGTAATCTGGGTAGACACTGCAAGGTAGTGCAAGATGGATGGGGAAAATGGAACAGAGCTGAGAAGTCAAATATTTAAAGACTGGGTCATGCAAGAGAAGCTAATAAAGCATTTGGCAGGAAAAAAATAGGATGGGACAGGACACAGAGATGCAGTAGGACTGAGGGAAGAAGGAGACAGAAAATATAAATTTAATCTAGATGTACGAGTTTTCTTGCATGTCTGAGTTGCACTTTTCCAGGTATACATGGTAATGTGATCTTGCTCAGTTCTTTCCTAATCAATTCATGCAAATAACATCAGGCAATGCTTTCCCAGTTTCCTCTGAGTTCCATACCCTGTGAGAAAAGTCGATGCTATAGAGACAGAACCTCATTCTCAGAAACTGAGGAGACTTCATAGCCCAGCCTTCTACCTGGAAACTGTCCATGCTCTGGGGACTTGTGGGGGACAAATCAGTGCCCAGATGATGCCAGTTCATGCTGCCTTTCTGTCCAATTAAGATACATTCAAAGAGATTTCAACCACCACTAATAAACACAGGCATAACCCTCTGAATTTCTGTAGTTGGATTCCAAAAGATTCCCTTCATCTACTCAGGAACTTCTGAATAACTTTGACAACCATGTGGGAATTATTGATCTCAGTTATAATTAAAAAGCTATTTGTCACTATTTTTCATCTATTTTGCATAAGGAAACTAATATTTCCTTTGTGAATAATATTTATATGTCAACAGATAGTGCAGAACTTAATATGTAACATAAACTAGGTGATTTGGAATACAAGCATCATAAGGTCACCCCAGGACACTGATGCTAAACCTTTTAATCCAATTCTTGCCTGACCACACTTGTAAAGCACTTCCCTTCGTGTTTATGGAAGGTTGATGGCTTTTGTATCCTTATCAAGACCAGAGGTGCACCTCTAGTTCTGCACAAAATAAAATATTCTGTCTCCCTCTACTGGCTCTGCATTAAATAAAACCAGAAAAAGGAAAAGGAAAACTAGAAAGCAAATGTTTATTGTTATCTTAGAGAATTCTATACAGAAGCAATGCTCAAATAACAGAAGATTAATACTTTAATCATAGTTTCTAAACAAGTATTACCAAAAAGAATTCTAAGGATCTTTCTGAACACAGTATGAGGTCCATTTAAAGTTCTTATTATAGGTACATAACGCCATCATAGTGACACAGCTATGACAGATAAATTATTTGTAACTTCAGGAAATTTTCTAGTAAAATTATTTGTTCATTAAAAATACAAGAGAATATTAATGAACTTTCTGTTTCTGTAACTTCGTTTTATTTTATGTTGAATCAAATTTAAGTATTCCTGCTTGCTTCCAGCCAAACTGACTTAAAATTAAGCTGGATGCTTTTACTTCTAAATAAGTTATAGATAACACATGATTTTGATTTGGGTTGTTTGTTGGTTGTTTTTTGGATTTGTTTTAATTAAAACAAATCAACATTTGTGATTCAAGGAAGTTCTGGTTTGCAATTTGACCACTCAAAATATATCTAGTAATGAAAGCAAGTTGTCACTATATAAAATACAAGAGATGTCCTTCACATACCCTTTAGATGACAGCTTCAAAACCTCATTGGTTTTTTACTGAATTCTGCTTTTCTCAAATGATATAATTAAGTGCATAAAGCACTCTGCTTGCTTCTATTATGGATCAAAAAAGTTCATAGTGCTCCCAAGAAAACATATCTTTTCTTAGTCCAAAAAAATCAAAATCACAAATCACAAAGAGTAAGAGAAACAAGTGCCACGTTTGCCATGAGGCCATCACAGTGATTTCTCTCTTACTAATTTTCTCCATTGGAGAATTTTATTTAAATTTGGGTAAAAAAAGCATTATTAAAATGAAACTCTCCCTTCATATATCTTACAATCCAGAAGTACAGCACAGTGTACTGATTTTATCATACATTCTACAGAACAATTTATCGTTCCTTTAACAGAGCCATGACCATTCATGTGTCCAACCAAAACACATTTCACTCTGCAGTGAATTTTATTTTCTATGGTAATACCTATTTGTATGCAAAACATGCATCATCTGCTAAGGACAAGGGACAGCAGCATAATGAAAAAGACACTAAGTTATGAAGTTGTTCCTGGCAACTGTTTCTCCACGTTTACCCACTCTAGAGTTCAAGTGCTGCCGGTGCTGTGCTGACTGTTGGTGGCCCTGAAGTGCAAGTCACATGTGGGCTCCCAAAATTGCCAGGGGCCAGGCCTCTTCTGTGCACACAGCAGAGACCAAGAGCCAGCACAGGTTTAAGACTGAGGAGTGGATGGCTCCCTGTGTGAGCTGCAAAACCCACAGATCCTGAACTTTCAGACACTGAACACAGTTTTGAGCATAGAGTTTTTTTAAACAGTACCTGTTTTTTCCTCTCTGCAGAAACAGATTAAAGCATGATAGATATTCTGTCAGAAAATAAGAGACCAAATTTATCAGCCCTGTTATTTCTGAACTAACTGAAATTACCACTAGGAGTTAATTTGTCAAGCAGTAATCAAAAAGGGTCGGACAAAATTTCCATGTGCTCATGAAACAGTATTTGTTCACAATTGGTCTGTATAGATTGCTTAAAGGTAGCACTCAAACACCTGAATGTGAACTTAATGTTAATTGAAAACTACCGTTCTACCTCTACACAGAGATTCCACTATGTGGGGAAAGAAGCATTCAGAATTTACAGCCAAATCCTCTAAATTCAAGAAAATTCAAGTAGTCTCATTTAAAAGGAGACTACAGTATATGCTTCCATATTAGTGGCATGGAGGCCTTGGTTATCAAGCTGACATTAAGAGGTTTTGAGAAGAAATATGCCTACACAGTAGATGACAGCCAAGAACTTTCATGCCAGGTTTAAGTAAAACAAAGGAATGCTTTTAAATGTTTAAAACTTAAGCTTCACATGAGTAGACAAGCTCTTACCTTGACTACATTAGCACATGCCACTACAGTAAAATTCTTTTAGTAAAGTCTTTACATGCACGTCAAAGCTCCTACAGACATGTTTATGAAAAGACCATGCTTTATTTACTGTACCTGAACATTTCTGTACCTGTCACGCTGCATGTTAATGAAAAAAATAAGATGGAACATTAGGTTATTTTCACACGTCCTTTCCAAAGGCATAATTTCTATTTATTCTTATATATGACGTTACATGCAGTTTTACTTTAGAAGAACTACCAAAAAGCACTTCAGCCTATCTTAAGATGACAACTTTGCCAAGTCAAATAAAAAGATTTTACTGTGCAGGAAAAAAAAGGCTAAACAATTAAAGAACAACATTTCTTCTCTTTCCCACACAATCTCTCAGAAACCCCCAAAACACCGATGCTGATAAAGGGCTTTGAGGGAAGTAGGTTTGTTTTACTGATACTCTTCAGCTTGGAGCAACTTGGTAGAAAGGAGTTACGCAAAATTAACAGCTGAGGCTACAGCAGCTTACCCAGCTGAGCTAGTTGAACTTTGCCTGTTTCCAGGTACTACTGACATCATTAGGAGTCAGTCATATCTAAGGAATAGCATGGCCTGGCCTCTTGACTTTAAATTAAGTGTGAGGGCTTAAATGAAGCACTGTCCACGTTAATGAAACAAACTATTTACACTAGTACACAGAAAGTACTTACAACGTTTCTGGGAAACTGCCTGTAAACAAGCTGTGACAATGTCGCAGTTCTTCTGGACTTTTTGTACAAGCCTGTCTTTCTGCTTCAGAAGACGGAGCAACTTTGCTGATTGAACGGAAATTCTGTAATTCAGTTCTCGTTTTATAGTTGTTAATTCATCAACATCTGCCAACAAGCAGAGAAAACAACTTCAGTACAGGCCAAAACATTCACAAACAGCTTATTGTAGCTGACACGCAAAGACACTTGCCTCACAGACATTTACAAATACAAGCTTTCTATAAATGACAAGTTCTATTGACTGGGGTAATTCCCAGTTATAAACACTTTCAGAATCCGAGCCAAAGCCTTTAATTTTCTTTTAAACAAAAGTACTTCAATTTATTGCACAGAGTATAAATCTTAACTATTATGCTGTTATAAACTCCTGGGAAGGTGACAGCTACAGACAGAACATACTGATAGTAGTGCAACCAGGAGACAGATTTTAGAAACAGCACCTTCCAGACGCTGCCCCTGCATGGAAAAGAAATACATTTATAACAGACAAGGGAACACACTCAAGAAGCCGGCTGCAAAGCTACAAATGCAACTCCAGAATACGGTCTAAGTGGGAAATTCTTTCCCCTAAGATGCAACTAGATGGCTTTAGTCATGGCCTCAGTCATCTCCACCAGTCAGTTACAGTGCCACCAGTCCCCTTCAGTTCATCAAAATGTCTCAGCTTAGTTCTAATATTCCTCTTGTCCCTCATGAGGTAAGCTTCAGGACCAGAAAAAGGAGTTCCTGGGGAGATGTCTTAAGTCCATTAATTTTTCTGAGTCCTCTGCTCTGTTCTCAGAGGCTCCCCACACCAGTGAAATCCTAGGTCTCGCCTATCACATGTTGACCCCTTCAGCTCCTCCCTTTAACAGCCTGGTACAGCTTGCCACCAGCATCTACACAGCTGCCTGCTTCCTGCAGCTCAGTTTTCAAACTATCACTTTCAATGCAACCCCTGTCCCCTGATGCTGGAAAGAAAATCAATCCAAAAATTCCATTCTTCAGTAACCTGATCTAATGAGAAAAATATGTATGCATCCAGGAAAAGCTACTATCACTGTGACGGTAAACAGCTCAGCTCATGTGGCAAAACTTTTTCAACAATTCTGGAGAGCTTAAAGAAAAGGACAAATAAGGCTGAAATGACCATCAACCATGGGCTAGTGAAAACTATGATGGCAAGGACAGGGGAACCACTGATAAAACAATACTGTATTTTATAGCCACTACCCTGCTGCTGCTGCACCTGCTGCTCAGATGTAATTCCCAATCACTTGTACCAGGCAGGGTAATTTAAAACTAGATCTATAGATTCAAAAGGAAAATATATATATATAAATATGTTGCATTTGTGATACTTTATACAGTGACCACCAGAGTTATCTGGAGAGTTTTACTCTCTCACATCCATGCCAGTTAGTTGTGCCTGTAAAAAAACAATAACTTGGCAGCAAAACTAATGAGTTGAAATACCACAAAATATATTTCTGAACAAGAAAATTTCCTGTTGAGTCCTAGGTTGCCAAAGGACACGCAGAAGAACTTGAGCTACATCCTAGTAACATCAGATGGCGTATCATCTCATTAAAAAGCCAAACACGGAAGCAGATAGCTGTTTGTACAGCTCTAAAAAACCAGGCGTATTTAGTCACCTCTTGAGATTTTTCCTCATCAAAAGCAAAAGTGATTAAACGTCAGAAGACAAGAGGTCTTTGTTCTCTTTTCCTCTTCACTACTTACTTGGAGTAGCATGTCTCAGTCTTTCACAAACATGCACTGTGGAGACTACCTAACTTTCATAAGAATTATTTTAAAATTTCATTTCGATTCTGATTGACTCCAGCATTTACATTTTTCATTACATTCCTTTTTTTTTTTTTTTTTTTTGGAAAACAAGCCCCCCTTCAAAAAATTTTACATTTTTC